GAGAGACGGGGGTGTGCGGGGGAGACAAGAGATGGGAGTAAGGACAGGAGAGAGGGTGGGAGGCAGGAGAGAGAGGAAGGGAGTGATAAAGAGATGGACAGGCAAAGGGTAATGGAGAAGGAGGGCGGAGGGGGAACAGAAATGAGAGGACCGAGACCCAGAAGAGACAATTGTGTGTGTGTGTGTGTGTGTGTGTGTGCGCGCGCGCGCATATGTGGTGGGTTGGGTGGGAGCAGGAAGAGCCAGGAAGACCATCCCGGCCACTGTGCTTGTGCTGGTCTGTCACAATCTTCGTCCCTGGCTTCCTGCCACAGCAATGGGCCCAGAGCTGACTTCGTGCTGGAATATAAGTGGCTGTGGCTTGGAGCCTCCTCTCTGGCTGAGGGGGAGAAGCTGCAGACAGATCTGCCTGGAATATCTGAGTTTTTCCAACACAGAAAGAAGAAACATACACACACACACACACACACACACACACACACACACGCACGCACACACACCAGTCTTATCATAAGCCTGGTGGAGTAACTTGGGTGGAAAAATCCCATAACTGAGATGCAGACCGAGGAGGCATCACTAAACTGTTGGCAAACAAGCCCCACCCACCACCCCACCCTACAGGGTGACACCTTTCCAGGAGCCCTCAGATCCTTGCTCACGTTCGAACCCTGGTTTGCCCTCTTGTCCCAAGTACTGTCAAGGACCCAGATGATCCCTGTGGGAGCACTGGGGGTTGGTGACACAAAGAAAGCCCATCCTCCTGAAGTGGGGAAGACATCCTCCTAGCCTTCAGCCCTGGTCATGGAGGCAAGAAATCCACCCCAGTGACCATCAACTTTGGAGGAGTTCATGAGTCTTAAATAGAGTTCCCAACACCACTGTCACATCTATCCCGCCCAGCAGGTCACTGGGTGCCTTCTATTCTCCCTGGGCCAGGTAGTTCTTTGTCTCTCCTCCCTGGGTGCAGGGACCATGGCTTAAAGGTTGTTAAGAAATGAGTTGGTAGCTGACAATTGAGTTCATTTCATTAAAAAAATATATATATATTTTAATTTTAGAGAGAGAAAGAGAGTGCAAGCAGGGGAGAGGGGCAGAAGGAGAGGCGGGGGGTCTTAAGCAGGCTCCATACTCAGCGCCAAGCTTGATCCCACAACACTGAGATAATGACCTGAGCCAAAATCAAGAGTTGATGCCCAACCAACTGAGCCACCCAGGTGTCCCCTTCCCCATTCTGAGCACATGATAGGATTGCACCTCCTGCTCCCACTGTGTAGGATGGTCTGGATATGTAGGAGCTTCCAGGCTCTCTTGGTTTCCCTCTGGCATGGTGACTGGCAACAGCAGATGTGGTGGCTGGGATCCATCAGCCTGGGTCCCCGAGTGGCTTTGAAGAACAGACTCTCCATGCCAACCAGCAAAGGGCATGTAATATGAGAGAGAAGTTTCTGGTTTAAAGGCACTGAGATTTGCAGGATGTTTATTACTGCAGCATAACCTAACCTGTCCTGACTGGTCCGGCGAGGCTGTGCAAACAGTTGTACTGTCAGAATCACTGGGAGGTCCCCTCAATGCTTCGGGGATTTCAGCGACTTCAAATGCTTCAAAGCCAAACAAAACCAAAAACTTCCCCTTCAGAAAGTCAGGACCCATCCTGTTCTTCCCCTTTCCTTCCTACTAAGAAACTTGGTAGAGGGTTGGGAGGACAGCCCTGAAGCAATTCACCCAATGGGGGAGCCAGCACACTCTCTGACCACCTCCGCAGTGACTTCACACACTGACCACACACTTGAGCTACTGTCAGGATCCTTCCCCTTGGTCAAAAATAAAAACAGCACACCTACTCTTCTGGGGGTGAGTCACAAACAGAAAAAAGTCAATGGCTCTGAGACAAGAGGATCTGCTAACATGGGAAAAACTCCCAGAGGAGGTGTCTCAGCAGATGCTGTGGTCCTACCCGGGTAGCTGGCATGACCAAAGACGGGTCCAAACAGTTCTGAACCTCAAGCATCAGCCACTACAGTACATCGGTCATGGTCCTGACCCTACAACGAGACTAGAGTTTATTTAGTACTTCCTCCCTGGGGAAGGAGGACTGACTTGTGAGAGAGAGAGAGAGAGAGAGAGAGAGAGAGAGAGAGAGTGTGGGACGGGCTGGGCTGGGCAAGATGGCATCAGAGGAGGTGAGTCCCAGCCAGGGAGCCTCCAGCTGGGGCTCTGGGGAGGCAACTACTTCTCCCAGCCTCAATTCTTGGCTCAGGGAGATGAACCTTAAGATAAACTTGATAAACTTTTTGGGTTGATTACATGAGGTTATGTTATCTCCGTTTTCATCTCCGTTCCCATCCCAGGAGCCAAATGCAGGGCTCTGGCCCTGCACAACCACCTCCCCCATTCAGGGCTGAGAGCAGTCACCACCATTCTTCCAAATCAGAGCTGCATCAGGAAAGGAAGCCCAGATCATTTTTCTGTGCAGCTCAGGCAACTGGGAAGGGGTTTATGTCCGGTGATTCTAGACACCCATCCCATGAGCCTCTCCATCCAGAGGATCTGGGACCGGCTGCCCAAACCCATGCCTGGAAAGGGGGTGGGGAGTGCAATGGAGGGCAGAGATGGTGACTGTTGGCAATTATTTCACAAGCGGCATTTCAGAACTGGCCTTCCAAATGATGTACTCATTACCAGGTCCCTTCTTGCCACAGCAAGCTGTCAACCAGAGCTCAAGCTGGGTGCACGCCCTGGACCTCACCCAGCTCACTGCCTCCTGGGAGACAGTGATCTCCTCCAACAACTCTCAAGTCCGTGGAGATGGATGGATAACAAAGGGTGGATATGAGCAGATATTTACGTGCAATACAGGTTTCTGCAACAACTCTGAGAAAACTATTTGCAGAAAAAGTGGGAGAAGGGGGAGAAAGAGACCAAAAATGCAAATTGTACTTTTCTTTGCAAATATTCAGCAGAAAGCATTCAGGGATAGCCCTCCTGCCGCCCCCGCCTATGGAGTTTTTCTCAGTTGTGTCCACTGAAGTTCACCTGCCCTGTGGGGAAAAGAACAGAGAAGCCCACCTTATCAGCATCTTGGATCTAGAGTACTGGAGTCCTTGGACCACCGGCAGCTACACCACCTAGGGATTTGTTAAAAATGCAAAATCTCAGGGCGCCTGGGTAGCCCAGTCAGTTGAGTGTCCAACTCTTGGCTCTGGCTCAGGTCATGATCTCACAGTTAAAGCCCTGCATCGGGCTCTGCACTGACAGTGTGGAATCTGCTTGGGATTCTCTCTCTCCCTTCCCTGCACACACACACTCTCTCTCTCTCTCAAAAAATAATTAAAATTAAAAAAGGCAAAATCTCACACCTCAGCCCTAAACTCATACTGATCAGAAACTCTGGGGGTGGAGCCCAGTAATCTGTGATTTAACAAGCCCTCCAAGTAATTGTAATGCACACCAAAGTTTGAAAAGCACTGAAGGTAGAGAAAGCAAGGTTCAGACAGGGGAGGGGAGAGGTGGGAGAGGGGAGTGGATGGTGCACATTCTCTCCTCTCCTCTCTCTCCTCTCTCCTGTCATGGGTCAAGGCAGGCTGGGAATTCCCTGGCTGCTAGACTCCTGAAATTTTAGGAATTACCTAAAAATTACCTTCAAAGGGAAACTAAAAGCAAAAGTGAAGATTCCCCCATCAGACACTAGGGGGAGTCCCATCTCTGGCTTGGGAAGAACAAGTCTGAGGTCTTTAGGAATTTAGACTATTTGCAAAGTCGGTTGCTGGTGACCTCTGCTAAATCAACCAAACTGAACCCCAAGTTTTAAAAGGACAGGCAGTGGTCACCGCATCAGAGCCGTGGATCGCAAAAGCATTTACCTGTCTTCCCATTCCCAGACTAATTTACGGGTAATAAATAAATAAATAAATAGACAAAAGTACAGAGGCTGGAGAGGGCCCGGGGCCGTGCAGCTGGCGGGTTCAAAGATCCAGCAGTCCTGTTCGCGCCCGCGAGAGACGATCAGGACAGGATACGTAATTTGTGGGACCTAGCGTACAAAGAAACTGCCGGGCCCTTGCTCAAAAAGTATTAAGACTTTGAAGACGGTGAAATCGGAGCGTTCAAATGGAAGGGACAGAGAAGGTTATGAAGCCTGGTCTGGCGCCAGCACAAAAGGACTCTGGGTCCCACAAGTGAGCCGTCCATCACTAATACGAAGTAGGGCTTTTGGAGGGGCTGATGTTTCCACAGGAGTTACTAGAGCAGCTGTGGGAGGAGGAGGTTTTGTTTTAGGAAGATAAGCTCTCCCAAGTCCGGGCGATCCAGGGCCCCGGATCATAACCCCCGTCTTCCGGGAAAGGAATATCCTACCAGGCAGGGCTGCCGACGGAGGGGAAATCCAGCGAGAGTGAAAGTCGCACGCGGACAGCCTCGGCCGCCGAGTAGGCGGCTTCCCGCGGTCAGCATCGGAAGCGTCTGCAGCCGCGCGTGCCTCGGCGTCACCGGACTCCGAGCCGCTGCGGGAGCGCAAGCGCCGACGGGGCATTCCCGACCCACGCGGGGCAGGATGGCCCGGGGTGGGGGGGGGGGTGCGGCGAGGGGAGCCGAGGCGCACACTCTCCCGTGGGCGGGAAAAGCCGGAGGGTGGCGCGCGGACACGGGCCTCGGGACCTATTCACAGACCCACCGCAGCTAGTTCCCAAGCCCTTCCTGGCCGCCTGCTCCCTCACCGGGGCGTGTTGGGGTGCGGTTATGGGGGGTATCTGGTTTGGGGGGCCGTGATGGGAGAGGGAAGGAGGCAGGGCTGAGGGCAGACGGCCCGCCCAGCAACGCCTCTCAGCTGCCCCAGCGGTCCCGGCCGCTTCCCGAAGACGCGCCTAAATCCGCGCTCGCTCCCGCGCCCCCAGCCGCTCGGCGGGTCGGCGGATCCCTGGGGCGTCCTTCCTGCCTCGCGCGAGTCTCCCCGCCTCCGCCCCGCCCTGCAGGCTGCGGTCCCTTTAAAGGCGCGCTCGTGTGGGGCCGCCCTTCTCTCGAGGCTGACTCGGGAGCAGCGCCACCGCCGCGAACCGCCGCCGTTGGCCCGGCATGGCCATGGCGTCCCCGGCCATCGGGCAGCGTCCCTACCCGCTGCTCTTGGACCCAGAACCGCCGCGCTACCTGCAGAGTCTGAGCGGCCACGAGCCGCCGCAGCCGCCGCCCCCCGGCCGCTCCTCTCGCCGCTGCGCCCCCGCTCCCCTCTCCACTGCGCGTGGGGCGCACGAGGGGCGCGGCGCCCGGAGGGCTGCCCGGGGGGACCCGGAGCCCCAACCTCGGGCCTCCCGACCCGCTCGCCCTCTCCGGCCTGGTCTGCAGCAGAGGCTGCGGCGGCGGCCTGGGGCGCCCCGGCCCCGCGACGTACGGAGCATCTTCGAGCAGCCGCAGGATCCTCGCGTCCCGGTGGAGCGAGGCGAGGGGCACCGCTTCGCCGAACTGGCGCTGCGGAGCGGCCGGGGCTGGTGTGACCTGTGCGGAAGAGAGGTGCTGCGGCAGGCGCTGCGCTGCGCTAGTGAGTGTGAGGGCATGGCAGGGGAGGGGCGCGCGGGAAGACCGCAGTCCGCGGGCGGGGAACTGCGAGGGGGCTGGGGCAGGAGACAGGGCCATTGACCTTCTCCACTTCGACTAAGGGAGACGCGCCCGGGAGACTCTGCTTCTTAGTCCCCTGCCCGGTATGCTTTAGTGACTGCCTACTGCCCAGGTATGGTGATGCGGTATTTAACAAATAGCTCTGTCCCTGACAGGTACACACTTCACCCCGCCACACACACACACACACACACACACACACACACACACACACACAGGTTGCGGATGATGGCCACGCCGGCAAGGTCATTCCGTTGTGTCTCACGCACCTTCTTGCTTTTGCTGTAAGTTCTTGACAGAGGGTTGTGAGACCGGTATTGAGATGGCCCTTAGACCCATGCTTATTAGGGTTAATGGGGAAATGGCTGGGTTTGTCGCCTGTGGTACAGGCCCATGGTACATGTCCGCCTATGGCACACCTCTCCTTCAGGGAGCATTGCAGGAACAGGCAAGAGACCTGGTTAGGCTTTGGATGGAAATGGACTGTGAGGTTGAAGCGAACCTGAGGTTACCCTGGACCTGTGCCCCCTCTTGCCTTCCACCTCTGGCCCCTCAAACCTTTGGACTCTGCTCTAATGTTTGGCTGTGTCCTGCCACTGCCTCCCCCTCCCCTCCTCCTCCCCCCTCAACTCTTCGGTTACTGCCCCAGTCACCAGGCTCTAAAATTCCCCAACTCCCTGCCCAGTACTTTCCTCCTCGGAGCTCTCAGGCCCCTCCAGCCTTCTTCTGAGCCACACTCTTCTCAAAGCCTGCCTGTGGATCACTGGACACCCAGTGTTGTAGACTTTCTGAGCAAATTTGCAGTCTTCTTGGCAGGGGCGGGGGGCGGGGGCGTATTATTTTTCTCTTCCTACAGTTAGGTGTGTGTATTTCTTTAAGGGATGTCCTCTCCCCACCCCCATATTTGAAGTTGCCGTGTTTGGTGGAAGATGTCTATATCCATGGGTCTGTGCGTTTATAGAGATAGTTTAAATATCTGAAGTACAAAGCACAGAACATGGCACAACCCCTAGCAAGCATCTCTGGAAATGAGTTGTGGTTTGCATCTTTTCAGCAAAGGCCCTTCCCCCATGACAGCAGGCCCCTGTCTCCCATCCCACTGCAGCACTGGCCAGGCAGCAGCTACTTCTGCATCAGGAAAACCCTCTGTCGCCTCTCTCTGCAGTTCCCAGCAGAGGCTGTACCCTGTGCCTCTTACTACAGCTGGCTTTAGGGAAGGAAAGCTCATATTCTAAGCCAGGGTCAAGTGGGAGGGAAGGATCGGAGGGGAAAGTCGGTGTTGCTCCCTCCACCACCAGAACTCACAGTTTAGGTGCTGATACAAAAGGAAAGAGCAAAATTTATAGAGGGGTGTATTGTGGGTGGAGGGCTGCTGTCACTTGGTAAATGTCCCTGGCTTTCCAGGAGAATCAAATGCAACTTGCCCGTGGATGTGTCGGCAACTTTCACCCTCTCAAGGGTCCTAGGGTACCTTACCGTGTCCATCAATTCTATAAACGCAGAGAGAGGCAGTATTCTCACTGTCATGGATTTAGTTTTGCTGGAACCCTGGGAAATCTGCTTTATTGGAATTCTACTTTGTACTAAGACATTTGGGGACTGTATCAACTAGAGGTGTCTGAGCACCAGAGAGGGAGCAGAGCTGGAATCAAGGGACTAATGAGCGGAGTCTCTGTTTGTCATTATTAATATTTAACTGGTTGTGGACCTGTGGCTTGATGGGAACAGTTGAGAAATGTTCTGATGTGCAAATGAGCGCTGGCAGGTGAAGACACAGCTGGCCAAACTCACGGAGCATCTTTCTTACAGTTAAAGATCTAATTCCATGATGGGGTTGGTTTGTTTTATCTTTGTTTTGAAAAGCGAGGTTCAGAAATATGGCTTTACAAAGGTACTACCATGCAGCGATTAAAAGGACAGACTGAAACCAGAAGAACTGAGTTTGAATCTTTACTCTGCCACTTAATCTCTGTGTGATTCTGGGCATCTCTGTGCTCTGCTTCCTTGTTTTAAAAAACAGGGATAATGACATGCCTACTTCATTGTGTTAATATGAGAATTAAATGAATTAATATATGTAAAGCGCTTAGCACAGTGCCCTGCAAAAGGCATTATGAACGTTTAATGCAATATGAATGTTATTATCCCCTCCCATCCAACAGCTGTAACAATATGTCTGGGCTCATGACACCTCTTAAGATCACCTTTCCAAGCAGTGAGTACAGTTTTCAAACCCTGCCTGGCTGAGCTAAGTGGGGAAGCGAGGGCCATGAGCATCCCAAGAAGTGCAAGTATTAATTCCCTCTAGAAAGGCCCTTTCTGCCCCTGCCGCGGTTGTGAAACATCTTCATCCTCACTGAATGCCAGTGGCTTAGGGAGCGTCAAGACACTGGTGCCTTGTCTTTATATCACTTGCCTCCAACAAAGTTCCAGGCACAGAGCAGCCTCAGTAAGTAGCAGTTGATGAAGGTGGTGGCTTGTTTTTACTCTTAAATCTCTCTGCTCTTGGAAGTAAGCAAAAGGGCAGTGGTATGCAAATGACATCTGTCTGGGCAGGAGGCTGGCGATGGGTGTTGGCAAAGTGAGCTTTTAATAAGGGAGACTGTAGGGGTGCCTGGGTGGCGCAGTCGGTTAAGCATCCGACTTCAGCCAGGTCACGATCTCGCGGTCCGGGAGTTCGAGCCCCGCGTCGGGCTCTGGGCTGATGGCTCAGAGCCTGGAGCCTGTTTCCGAGTCTGTGTCTCCCTCTCTCTCTGCCCCTCCCCCGTTCATGCTCTGTCTCTCTCTGTCCCAAAAATAAATAAAAACATTGAAAAAAAAATTTTAATAAGGGAGACTGTAAAAAAAATTTTTAATGTTTATTTTTGAGAGAGAGAGAGAGAGAGAGAGAATGGCAGAGAGAGAGAGGGAGACACAGAATCTGAAGCAGGCTCCAAGCTCTGAGCTGTCAGCATGGAGCCCGATGTGGGGCTCGAACTCATGGACCTCGAGATGTTGACCTGAGCGAAGTCTGACTCTCAACCGACTGTGCCACCCAGGTGCCCCTGAGGGAGACTTTTAGAAAGGTGCGTGCCTGTCTGTTTAGTGAAAGCCCCTCTAACTTAAGTTTACTCCTACTTCCACATCTAGGTCTATAACTGACTCTGGTTAATGCTGGATTTGCCAACAGGGAGACTCAGAGTTAATATTAATTTCCAGGATTAAAGAAATCATGTTTGTTAGATGGAGAAGGAAATCCAGTGGGGATCGGAAGAGAGACAGAGAGAATTTTGTGAATGCATGTGTATGTTTTAGGATGGGGACAGTGGCACTGGTGAGGATCCATTTCCAGCATTCTGGGAGGGCAGTGTCAACAGCAAACAAGCCAGAAACTCACTGGCTGCCCTTTGGCTTTGGTAACAGGTAATGTCCTTTAGAGGTTATGGACCCTGTCTTCTGTAGAAGGCACAGAGAGTTGACCTTTTACCTTTCATCTAGTTTTGTGGATATGGAAGCCATCCTGGACTATGGAAAGTATGGAAAATGGGGAAACCTAAGACCAGCTCAGCACTCAAGGAGGGATGCTTGGGCATGATGCTAGTGGGTGTCCAGAGTCTTCCTTGGAGGCAGCATCATTCAGAGCTATGAATTGTTAAGTGATTGGAATTACAGGGTTGAAAGGGGGGCCCTGGGGTTCATTGTCTTACCCCTCTTCTGTGATAGATGTTTAATTATGATGTGAATAGGAAGCATTTGCCATGAGACCTCAGGGGCAGGGGACCTTCTGGGTTGAGGGAGACTGATATCGCACAGGGCTCCTTGTCCAGCCCTCCCAGCTCTGTCTTGTCACTTCATTAGTGGCTGGGCTCAACCCGCCTCTCTGTAAAGACTAGAACCACCCACATGACAGCCCCTGGATCGTGTGGAATCCTCTCTGGCCATGAGTTCTTTGTAAAAGGGGTGACTGGGACATTGACACTGAGTTTTCCTGTAGCAGACCTAGAAATCTTGGGCACTTGGAAAGTATTTTATTTGTCCAGCACACCCAGCAGCACTGAAGTGTGTGGCTTGAAGTGTTTTCATTGATTTAGGCTCGTGTTTGGCTGTGGAGGTTAGAGAAATGGACGTTGAGTTGTTAAAGAGAGTAGAATCCCCCACCTGTGATTCTTCCCACTGCTGGCTCTAACTGGGCTCTTCTCTTTGGGAAAGGTCCTAGTGGTGTGTGTGTGTGTGTGTGTGTGTGTGTGTGTGTGTGTGTGTGTGTGTTTGGGGGCAGAGAACAGACCTGGAGTGCTTTGAGGGAGGCTTCTGAGGTCCCCAAGCTGTATCCTGTTTCCTCTCCTCCCTGCTTCCTGTCTTCTCAAAAGATGAAATTGAAAGGATTAAATGTGGGCTTAATTGTCCCCCCTCTTCATCAGAGCATGAAAATTTCTGATTATGGAGGGAAGGGGGCTTGAATCCCAGGTACAGTCAAAAATGATTAATGCCACTTGTCTGCCAGCCTAATTAGACTTGGTAATGAACGTGTGTGTTCGCCTGCTGATCCTGCGGAGTTATTAGGTGGAAGTGAATTGACATCTCCCCTCAGTGCTGAGGGTTTGGTCCGGGATCCTCTCTCTTCCTCCCAAGTTTATCGGTCACTCAGCCTGTGCCAAGCCTGGCAGGCATGCCCTGAGTGACGGAGAAAAGACAGCCCCCAGCTCGGCCCCAAGGGCCCTGCCTGGCTGGTGAAGTGACTTCAGCCACAGGGAGCTGGCTTAGGCCCAGCCCGCCCCTGAGCACAGGAAGGATTCTTCACAGGCCAGTCGTGATTTTCCCACGAAGAACCCAAAGGGTTTTCATGCTTGCTTCCATATTCATCCCCAGAATGGCTTCCTGAGGTCAGCACACAGGGATGCTGCCGCCAAGGTCTTGCATAGGCAGGGAGGCGTCGATCGTCTGCCT